AGCCGCGCGGCACGGGGTTCGAACAAGCCGGCTTTTAAAAATGGCGGCGCCGGCTTTATGCTAATGAAGCCCGGGAAATTCAAATCCCGGGCTTCATTAGCAAGTTTGGTATGCATACATTACCCCCCTAGTTCGAACTAGGGGGGTAGTGTAGACATACCCTCAGAGTCCTGTCTGCCCACAGTGCCAGGTGCTCCAGAAGGAGTCACTTTCCAAGGTCCCTCCCCTCTCACCCATGCTCAGCTTCTGACAAACAGAGGCTAGGGACACGAGTCCTACCCAGCCTGGCTAATAACCATTGATGGACCTAACCTCCATGAATGTATCCAGCTTTTTTTTTTTAAACCTTGATAAATCCCTGGTCTTCACAACCTCCTCTGGCAAGGAGTTCCACAAGTTAACTGTGCCCTGCATGAAGGAAAAACTTCCTTTCATCTGTTTTAAACCTGCTGCCTATTCATGTCATTGGGTGACCCTTAGTTCTTACGTTATGGGAACAAGTCAATAACTTTTCCTTATTCGCTATTTCCACCCCAGTCGTCATTGTACAGACTCTCTCCTACCCCCCCCCCTTAGCCTCCTCTTTCCCAAGCTGAAAAGTCCCAGTGTAGGCACGTAGCCAGTCTGTCTGTCTGCCGGTGGTGTTGCAGGCTTATCCTGGGCGTGGCCAAGCTGCGCGTCTGCTGTGACCAGGAGCTGGGAGTCACACCCCTAACTTGTACTGTACTGCTGACATGCCCCTAGCGTGTGACTCCGGTAAGGGGTGATGTGTGAGCCTACGACTTGGATTTGGAGCTTTTCTCAGTGGCAGACAAAACCCAGATCCCAGGAGTGGGCCTCAGTTTCCCGTCTGTAAAGGGTGAGGGGGTGAGAGGCCCCTTCTTCATGGGAGCGCTGAGATGCACTGAAGGCCGTGCGGTGCGGTGCTCCTGCAGGCTGGAGAGGCCCCTGGGTAGCACCAGGGGGTGTTGTGTTGGTGTTTGAGCCCCTCCCTCACTGGCAAGAGCCCTTCAGACACTTGGCTGGGGGACATGCTCTGCCGTGGCAGGTTTTTGGCAGGTTTTTAGGTTCCGTCTCCTCTCCCCAGGCTGGGCACAATTTCCGCAACGCCGACTTGAGTTACGTGAAGCAGCTGTGTGGCACCTTCCTGCATGGGCCCAAGCTGCCAGTCAGGTGGGTGCTGGGGAAGGGGGGGGGGACACACGCTGGGGGGCTTGTTCCTTTGGGGCTGAGCATGAATTGTGGGGCAGGAGGGGAGGCGTTGGGGCTGGAAACTGCTCCAGTGCTTCATGTCGCCCTCTTCCTCCTGGCCACGGCCAGCTGGTCCCCCACGAGAGCATGGAGAGGCCTTGCTGGCTTCAACCCTTGGCCACCTGCTCCGTCAGCACCACCTTGCCCTGCACTTCCTTGGAGGGGAGCCAGCTACATCCCTCTGTGAGCTGGGGTGGCTGCCTCCAGGGCGGGCGGGGCTTGAGCCCTCAACCTCTGGCTCCAGAGGCATGTTGCTTGTCCACTACGCCACTGGAGGCTCCCCCCTGCCTCCTTACCTCTGGGCCATCCTTATCTTTCCTGTGTTCCGGGGGCTGCCAGCTACCTCCCGTGTCGCTTGCGATGTGCCAGCGTTGGGCAGTTTGGGAGAGATTCCAAGTTGAATCGCGGGGGCCAGCTGAGAATCCTGGAACACTAGAATGGGAAGGGACCTCGAGAGTCCTCGAGTCCAGTCCCCTGCCCCCACGGCAGGACCAAGCACCATCTAGACCATCCCTGACCGGTGTCTGTCCAACCTGCTCTGAAATATCTCCAGGGATGGAGATTCCACAACCTCCCTTCTCTGTCCAAGCCTCCATAATCCTCATCCTTCTGTGCCTCCGTCTCCAGCGCTCTGAGCTCTCGGGTCCCTGTATCGTACGGGAAGGGAACTGAAGCGGGGTCCCTGTATCGTACGGGAAGGGAACTGAAGCGAAGCAACTCGTCCAGCATCCTACAGGGAGTTGGGCCGTGCAGGGAATGGAACCAGAACGGATGCCCAGTCCGGGGCTTTCGCGCCCCTGCGTGTGTTTACACAGCCAGCGTCCAGCCAGCTTTATGGGCTGGATACGGGAATCCGTGGTGGAGTCTTCCAGCCTTGGGTTTCCAGGAGGCCGGATGAGTGGCCTCTTCAGGCCTTGATCTGTGTCTCAAACGACAGTAGAACCGTCTTTCCAGTAGGGATGTGCACAGGAACCGGTTCCCAGACCTGGGAGCAGCCTGCTGCGGGGAGAGGGGTGCTCCCCACACGGGGCTGGCAGGGCCCCCCACCTGCTGCCCTCTTAATCGGTTAATCAGTTCCACGTCGCGTTTCCCGGGATATTGAACTCGTTAACCAACGAAACGGGTTTTCACATCCCTACTTTCCAGCGCGCCGTGTGTGCGCCAGTCCCAAGGCGGGAGACCTCACTTGTGGCTGCTACATGTGGCTGGCACCTTCCTATGCTTGGGAGTATCCGAGTTTGCTTTCATGTGGCCCCAATCCTAGTTAGGTGGGCTCTGCCGTACCGTGGCCTGCCCCGTCCTGCGCTGGGACTCTTGTGCCCTGGCCCCACCTCATCAGCGGCTGTCTACGTGTTCCAGCTTAAGAGCTTGCTGGCGAGCGCTGAGTTTGCGAACCTGGCCGCAGTCCCCCCCCGTAACCTGTCGTCTTCCCTCCCAGGGCGGAGTTTGCTGGAGACCTCAACTTGCCGGACAGCTTTGACTCCCGGAAGCAGTGGCCAAATTGTCCAACCATCAACGAGATCCGTGACCAGGGCTCTTGTGGCTCTTGCTGGGTAAGAGGAGGGGGCTGTCCGAGGGGGGGGCCTGCATGCCAGAGCCAGCTAGATCCAAAGCTTTAGCCTCTCCAAACTCCGGGAGGGAGACGTGCACTGCTAGGCAGCCCGGCGCAGCGACCCGCGGCCCTGCTGCTGGTTCTACAGACCGTACCTCCTCCACCAGGACATTCTGGTCCGGATCCTGGATATTCCTGGACCAAAGAGCAGGGAGAGTTAGCGGGGCCGGGGGACTGGTGGCAGGAGACTTCCCCTGATCCGGCAAATTCCCTTCTCAGGACCTGACCAGTCCCGGATGGGTGCCAGACCAGGGAGGTCCGACCTGTAGCAAACTTCCCAGCCCCCTGCACTTGGCTCTCGACACTGAGGGCTCAATTTGCAGACTGGGAAAAACGTCCGTCCTTCCTGCTTAGCTCAGCCTTGCCCACGCGCCCCTGGGGCCCAGCTAGCAAGCCCCACAGTGGGAACAAATTCCCCAAGTGCCTGGTCCAATTGCGTGTCTCCTTGGCAGCAAACACGCGGGCCCCTCCCCTCCTCCGGGAGGGTGCGTGACGCTCTCCCCCCTCGGGGGGCTTGTTTGTTGTAGGCCTTCGGGGCCGTGGAGGCCATTTCGGACCGAGTCTGCGTGCACACCAACGGCAAGATGAACGTGGAAATCTCGGCGGAAGATCTGCTGTCTTGCTGTGGCTTCGAATGTGGGATGGGGTGAGCAGCTCCAGCGTGGTGCGCGCCACAAACCACGCCCTGCGTGGACCTCCCTGGACTCTCCAGCCTGGGATCGATAAACGTCACCACTCGGCGTGGCCCCCAGGCCGGGAAAGGGAGACCTCCGCTCTGTAGCGGCGTTCCCTGGGTGGCCCACGAGGGGCAGAGGGCAAACCCAGGACACAGCCCTGCTGGGTTTACGCTCCCCGCGATTTAAAGATCTCAAACCCCCCACTGCGGAAATGTCTGGCTTCTCCCAGTTCAGTTTCAGTTTTTGGTACCCGCTGTGCCTCTGAGCGGCACAGACCCCTGGACGCTAAGACGCGGACACGGAAGCAGGCACACCGGGGAGTTCAGACCCTCTGCAGCCTATTAGGAACTGGGGAAACTTTTGGGATAGGGAACACCTATACAAAAAGGATGGGCTCCACCTACATCAAAATGGAGCCAGACTGCTGACACGTCACATTTAAAAAGGTCACAGAGCAGTTTTGAAACTAAGGACTGGGGGAAAGCCAACTGGTGCGGAGAAGCGCATGGATTGGACAGGCATCTCTTGGGGGAGGGTCTATGAATAGAGATGCTCTAAGTTCTAGTCAGGCGGAGGTGATGGGAGTATGGGTCCGATCAAATGAGAATCAAACGAAAGAGTCTAACACATCAGGGAATGGCAGATCAATCGTGACAAATTATTGAAGTGCTTATATGCCAGTGCTAGAAGTCTAAATAGGAAAATGGGTGAACTGGAGTGCCTAGTTTTAAAGGAGGATATTGATACAAAAGGCATCACAGAGACTTGGTGGAATGAGGACAATCAATGGGGGACAGTCCTACCCAGGTACAAAATACATCGGAAGGACATAGCAGGTCATGCTGGTGGGAGAGTGGCACTATACGTGAAAGAAAATGTAGAATCAGATGAAGTAAAAATCTTAAATGAGCCAAAATGTTCCATAGAATCTCTATGGATAGAATCATAGAACACTAGGACTGGAAGGGACCTCGAGAGGTCATCGAGTCCAGTCCCCTGCCCTCATGGCAGGACCAAATACTGTCTAGACCATCCCTGATAGACATTTATCTAACCTGCTCTTAAATATCTCCAGAGATGGGGATTCCACAACCTCCCTGGGCAATTTATTCCAGTGTTTCACCACCCTGACAGTTAGGAACTTTTTCCTAATGTCCAACCTAAACCTCCCTTGCTGCAGTTTAAGCCCATTGGATAGTAATTCCATGCTCCAATAATAAGAATATAACTGTAGGGATCTATTATCGACCACCTGATCAGGACCGTGATAGTGACTATGAAATGCGAAGGGAGATTAGAGAGACTATCAAATTAAAAAACTCCACAATAATAAAAACAATAGGGGATTTCAACTGTCCCCGTATTGACTGGGTACCTGTCACCTCAGGATGGGATGCAGAGATAAAATTTCTTGAGACATTAAATGACTGCTTCTTGGAGCAGCTGGTTCTGGAACCCCCAAGGCAGAAGCAGTTCTTGATTTAGTCCTAAGTGGAGCACAGGATCTGGGTCAGGAGGTGACTATAACTGGCCCGCTTGGAAATAGTGGCCATGATGTGATAAAATTTAACATCCCTGTGGTGGGAAAAACCCCTCAGCAGCCCAACACTGGCATTTAATTGCAGAAAGGGGAACTACACAAAAATGAGGAAGTTAAACAGAAGTTAAAAGGTACAGTGACAAATTTAAAAGCGACAAGGAGTCCTGTGGCATCTTATAGACTAACAGATCTATTGGAGCATAAGCTTTTGAGGGCAAAGACCCACTTCGTCAGATGCATGCAGTGGAAATTTCCAGAGGCAGCTATAAATATGCCGGCCAGAATCAGGCTAGAGATAACGAGGTTAATTCAGTCAAGGAGGGCGAGGCCCACTTCTAGCAGCTGATGTGGAGGTGTGAACACCAAGAGAGGAGAAACTGCTTTTGTAAGTGGCTAGCTGTGACGTAGTGGGGGTACTTGCTGGGCTGTGGTGACCTCTGCTGTCTGGAGCAAGACCCAGCAGGGAAAACCTCAGTATGCAAAGGTGACTCCATACCGGTTGAACCAGCCAACCTCCCATGGGGAGAAACAAAGGGAGGTGGAAGGCTGCCCTGGCTGGGGGGCAGGGCTGGAGGAGAGGGAGTTAGTTCCTGGCTGGAAAGCAGGGGAGAAGGAACTGGGGAGGGGGCTGGGATTCCCCTATCTCAAGGGGGGCACTGAGGCCTCTTAGCCCCAGTTCCTGTAATTAGATTACATCTGTGCTGTGCTGTATGGTGGAGAAGCAATAAACCACCCTGGTGAAGTCGGTTCGTGCCATTCCGGGGCTGCAGGAGTCTGGGGAACCCCAACGTGCCGTCACACTAGCCATTCGCAGTCTTTGTTTAATCCTAAACGGATGGTATCAAATTTGCAGATGAACTGTAGCTCAGCAGTTTCTCTTTGAAGTCTGGTCTTGAAGTTTTTTTTTGCTGCAGAATGGCTACTTTTAAATCTGCTACTGTGTGTCCAGGGAGATTGAAGTGTTCCCCTACAGGGTTTTGTATGTTGCCATTCCTAATAGCTGATTTGTGTCCATTGATTCTTTTACGTAGGGACTGTCCAGTTTGGCCGACGTATATAGCAGAGGGTCATTGCTGGCACATGATGGCGTATATTACATTGGTAGATGTGCGCGTGAATGAGCCAGTGATGTTGTGGCTAATCTGGTTAGGTCCTGTGATGGTGTCGCTGGTGTAGATATGAGGGCAGAGTTGGCACCGAGGTTTGTTGCAGGGATTGGTTCCTGAGTTAGTTACTGTGGTGCGGTGTGTAGTTGCTGGTGAGAATTTGCTTCAGATTGGTGGGTTGTCTGTGGGCAAGGACTGGCCTGCCTCCCGAGGCCTGTGAAAGTGAGGGATCATTGTCCGGGATGGATTGTAGATCACTGATGATGCATTGGAGAGGTTTTAGCTGAGGAGATGACCAGTGGTGTTCTGTTGGTTTCTTTCTTGGGCTTGTCTTCAAGTTACCTGCCTCTGGAAATTTACATGCATCTGACGAAGTGGGTCTTTTCCCACGAAAACTTATGCTCCAATACATCTGTTAGTCTATAAGGTGCCACAGGACTCCTTGTCGCTTTTGCAGATCCAGACTAACACGGCTACCCCTCTGATAAGTGACAAAAGTAAAATCTCTGCAAGATGCATGGAAACTTTTCGAAGACACCATAATAGAGGCCCAACTTAAATGTATACCCCAAATTAAAAAACACAGTAAGAGAACCAAAAAGGTGCCATCGTGGCTTAACAATCAAGTAAAAGAAGCAGTGAGAGAAAAAGACATCTTTTAAAAAGTGGAAGTCAAATCCTAGTGAGGAAAATAGAAAGAACCATAAACTTTGTCAAATTGTGTAAAACTATAATAAGAAAAACCAAAAAGGAGCTTGAAGAGCAGCTAGCCAAAAACTCAAAAAGTAATAGCAAAATGTTTAAGTACATCAGAAGCAGGAAGCTGGCTAAACAACCAATGGGGCCCTTGGATGATCGAGATGCTAAAGGAGCCCTCAAATGGGAAATTGCGAAACTATTAACTGTGGTTTGTAACGTAGCCTTTAAATCGGCTTTCGTACCTAATGACTGGAAGATAGCTAATGTGACGCCAGTATTTAAAAAGGGCTCTAGAGGCGATCCTGGCAATTACAGACCAGTAAATCTAATGTCAGTACCGGGCAAATTAGTTGAAACTATAGTAAAGAATAAAATTGTCAGAGACATGGATGAATATAATTTGTTGGAGGAAAGTCAACATGGTTTCTGAAAAGGGAAATCCTGCCTTACTAATCTGCAAGAGTTCTTTGAGAGGGTCAACAAACATGTGGACAAGGGGGATCCAGTGGATGTAGTGTACTTAGATTTCTAGAAAGCCTTTGACAAGGTCCTCACCAAAGTAAGTTGTCATGGGATAAGAGGGAAGGTCCTTTCATGGACTGGTAACCGGTTAAAAGACAGGAAACAAAGGGTAGGAATCACTGGTCAGTTTTCCGAGTGGAGAGAGGTAACTAGTGGGGTCCCCCAAGGGTCGGTCCTGGGACCCATCCTATTCAACTTATTCATAAATGATCTAGAGAAAGGGATCAACAAGGAGGTGGCAAAATTTGCAGATGACACCAAATTGCTCACGCTCGTTAAGACCCAAGCAGATTGTGAAGAGCTTCAAAAAGATCTCAGCAGACTAAGTAACTGGGCAAGAACATGGCCAATGAAATTGAATGTTGATCTATGTAAAGTGAAGCACATAGGAAAACGTAATCCCAACTATGTACACAGTATGATGAGGACGGTAGGGAGCTGCCTGTAGCCATTCGGGTAACCGCTTGGTTACCCGTTTTAAACAGCTACACTGTGACATCCCTGGGCTGGACTTGCCGGCTCCCTGCGCCGGAGCTGTGGCCGAAGTGGGATGCGTTCCGGCTCTTCGTTTAGGAGTGGAAGCGTCCGTGTTGGGCCCAGCCATGCTGGCCAGTGACCCGTCTCCAAACGGGACCGTTGGCAGAAATGCGAAATCCCTCCGGCCGGGGCGGCGCGTCCCTTCAGCGGCCGGCGTGGAGACCCTGCCCGAGAAGGGGCTCACGTGTAAGGCCTTTACTCACAAGTAAGGGGGGGAGGGATAGCTGAGTGGTTTGAGCACTAGCCTGCTAAACCCAGGGTTGTGAGTTCAATTCCTGAGGGGGTCATTTCAGGATCTGGGGAAAATCTGTCAGGGATGGTGCTTGGTCCTGCCATGAGGGCAGGGGACTGGACTCGATGACCTCTCGAGGTCCCTTCTAGCTCTGAGACAGTTATCTCTCCATATTATAAACAGGTCTTCACCCTCCCCTGGGCTGCAGTGGTTGAGCTAAGCATGGGGTGGGGGTCGGCAGGACCAGGGTCTCACAGCACCCGTGGGGCAATGAATTTCCCTTTGTCCCTGTCCCTGTGTCCCTGTCTCCCTGCCTGTTAGACCAGGAGCTAGGGAGGCAGGACTCCTGGGTTCCCTGCAGTCCCTGCCTGCTGCATGGCCTAGTATCTCTTGGCCTTCCCTTGGTGCAGCACTTGGCTTGCAGTGCACCTGAGGAAGAGGAAAAGGCCACACAGGCAGCAGCTGCCCGGGGGGGAGGCAGGGCAGCCAGGTGCCAGAGAACTTCCTGGGGGCTTGAGACCTGCTTTCAGCTCTGAAACCAGGGGTGTGAGTCACTTCCCCTTTCTGTGCCTCAGTTTCCCCTCTGTAAACAGGAGCTGCGTTTTGCTGCCCTCCTTTAAGCACAGACATCGGGGGGAGCCCCCAGCTGCAAGTAACCCCCTCAAGCCCCTGGCGTCTCCAGACAGCATGTGGGAGCCGGCGCCCACACGCACGGAGCG